TGAATTGAATCCCTATGTCCCAGATTGGGACACGGCCAACCCAGAAGCCACCGGCTAATGCCACTTTGGAAATAATAATAATAATAATAATAATAGCCACGCAAAACACAATATCAACACGCACACTGACAATTGAAACATATTAGCAAGGTCCCGTTTCAATTAAAATATTATACTTAAATAATAATAATAAAACTAGCAAATATAATACAATGCCGAAACATAATGGCAATTAAAACACAATATAATTGTCTCACCTGTCGTACAGGTGACGCCACTGACGCCGTACGGGCAGACACATGTGCTGTTGATGCACATGCCTCCAAAGCATGGTGGGTCGCAATCTCCCGGGCCTACGAAACATCAGGAAGCATTTCACCTTACGTTACACGCATTCGTCCAACCCATATAACCTAGGAATGCGTGGCAGGGATATATATAATATAATGCAATACAATATAATATTACAATTACCACGGCAGCGTGACACCTACCCACACAGATGTGGCCGTCGCTGCCGAGCGAGAGGCCGTCGGGGCAGTCACAGCGGTAGCCGCCCGGTACGTTCGTGCAGTAGTGGCTGCATGGTCTCCACAGTCGGCACTCATCGTAGTCCAGCTCACACGATCGGCCCAGGTATCCAGGCAAGCAGCGGCAAGTCTCCTGATGAATGATCACGTAAAACGTTTATTGCGCTCGTTGCTTTTATGACATTATTATGATGTTTTTGAAGCGTCCGTGACAATATGGCCAGATGCGGTCAGTTTCGTTTTGAACCTTATATGGGTGAATGAACTATCCGAACATTATGTTGCATGTTCGGTTCGCATGTGAATTGAATAGGTTCACGCGTATCTTGGGCATGTTAAGGGGGCATGTGTATTTAAACTTAGTGGGGCTAATAGATATGTTCATGGGGTTCACAGGTTAGTTCATGATGTTCACACGTGGGTTCATAGTGTTCTCAAGTTAGTTCATGGTGTTCACATGTTAGTTCCTGGAGAGTACAGGTGAGCTCTTGGTGTTCACACGTGAGTTCATCGTATCCTCATGTGAGTTAATTTTACGGTGTTCGCATGTTAGTTCATGGCGCCAACATGTGCGTTCGTGGGGTTTACAGGTGTATTCGTGGTTTTCACGGGAGGATTCGTGTGGTTCGCACCTCGATACATTCGCCGCCATTCTTGCACGGCGGGTAGCATGTGTTCTTCGTGCAGAGCGAAGTTTTGTCGGCTATAGTGTATCCGGGCTTGCAGAAGCAAGAATAAGAACCAAATGTATTCTGACAGAGTTGGTCGCACGCGTCCGTATTCTCCTCGCACTCGTCAATATCTGTAAACATTCAGGCGTGTTTAGGAGCGAAAACATATACTTAGTGGTAAACTAACCAACTGATGTTTTAATGATATACAACTATCGAAAATTGTCAATTATTCACTTAACTATCGGCGATAATTATCAATGTTTCACTTTGCTATTGGCACATTGATATCTGGCCAAATACTATTACAATTAATCCATTGTTTAATGAATCGTTACCCTCATATTAACTATAGTGCACGAAAGACTGTGCGTGTCACAGGGAGTCCAGATGAACTCTTTCGGTAAAGTTACGTTACGTTTTACTTCACATTATTCACGTGTTATTTCGTTTACCGATACAGCACTGAATGTTTAAGGGCCTACACATAATTCGCTCTTTAGGGAGAATAACATATAGACGTTTTGCTACATGCTTACGTAAAGCGATTGCGTTTACGTCTACCCCAAATTCCGTTCGAAAAGCGAATCAACACTTTATTGATACGATGAGAGCCGGTCATCGCTTGAGTCAGATTTGTTTCATGGTGCATTAAATAATATCGAAATTTTTTACTATATAAACCACATCTTATAACTCGTGTACTCTTTGCCTCGTACGCCCATCTTCCGAGAACTTGTTCGAGAGGGTTATACCCTCTCTCACGCTACGCTCACTCACCTTTACCGCACGATGCACCTGTAACTCCAGGTGGGCAGGTACACTTGCGCTGCGAGCAGGTGCCTCCGTGCTCACACGGCGGGTCGCAGCGATCCAGCTCTATGGTGATCTCGTGGGGAAAGGGTACAACCACCTCCAGAACTACAATGCGGGGTATTGTATCGTTTCTCGTAATCACACAGATTCATGGGTGTAAACTCGTGCATAAACGTGTTATTATGCACGTACGGACTAACCGAGACCAGAGTGCTTTAGAAACCAGTTTAAATTACTCATGCTTTGCATATATCTAGTTTAGCGCGTAAAGTACACGACTAGGTAGCCAACTTCATTCAAATTCAGCCGTTGTTTGATTAGGTTAACACATCGTATCACAAATATCGTAAATCTCTATTACGAGCGCTGCTAAGATGTAATTAGGACGATGGGCGGCTGGCCTTGAAATGCGCCGTGCACTCGCACGCTATCTCATCGAAGCCAGTACGTTATCGCACACGAGCGACACTAACCTATGAGAACACAGTTATGAAGGTTGGGATGCAGATTGTAGCCCTCCGGACAGCTACAGATGTAGCCGCCACCAATGTTTAGACATGCATGCTCACACCAATGCAATCCCATGCTACACTCATCATCGTCTGCGAGGAAGCAAAGATAACAACACCATGCAGCACAAACCCATGCAACGAGACACACAGAGAGAAAATCACTGACGAACTTCTTCTAGTAAGTACGCGCATTATAGGTGACCAGAAATTCATTTAATTCGGTTATTCCGGACAGGAGCAAAGTTTATACTATATATACCAGCCACCGAACCCACAAAGATTTCAACAGATATCACAGTACAGATAGTATACCAACGTAAAGTCCTAGCGAACGTATAACATTATGCACACGATACTCAGAACTACTTTAATTGCCTACACAGTGAACAACGTGAATGCGTGTGTCACAGATACAAGAATCTTCAAGACATGAAACATAAGGCGTGTTCACACGGAGCAATTGTCCCGGGTCGAAAACGATCCGAGACTGACCCGGATAAAAAATGACACGGGTTGATTTTGACGAGAGCGTTCACACGACGTTTGATCGATCAGTTCTACAGGACATGCCTTGGTAAGCGAATGTGGCTCACCGCTAGACGCCTTCGCAACACTTCGTCAAATTCCTTGAAATAACTGCACGATGTTCGTGCCCTTCCCGATCTGTTGTTGTTGTCTACCACCTTCCGTTTGAGCCGATTACAACTTGTTATACAGTTAATTTTAACTATCCCCCGCTCAGTCAGTTTTTCAACAATTTCTTGGTAGGCTAGACGATTTCCCGAAGTTCCTGTTAACTGCGCCTGTATAAAACCCGATTTTCAAATATCGAGAAGAGCGACGTTGTCCTCGTGAGACCACAGTCAATCAACCCATTCTGTTACTTTTTTTTGCCTTTTGACGTATCTTTTAACTCAATGAAAATACTGAAAAACGCGCGTGTAGAAACTGAGAAATGCGGCGAAGTAAAGCGGAAGTCGACACTGACGACATCTACCACCGTACTAATTTTGTCCTGTGACGTGTGTCAGTGCACGTTCACACGGCAAAAATGAACCAGCGATCTGGTCAAGTTCGTCCCGGATCGTTTTCGTACCCACTCTGTAGTTGGTACAAAAACGATCCGGGACAAAATGGCACGGATCACCTTTGTACCGAGAAAACGTCCGTGTGAACGCTTGGCCCGGGACAAGTTTAGCCCGGATCGTTTTCGACCCGGGGACAAATTGCTCCGTGTGAACGAGGCTATAGTTTTAATCAAAACGTTCAATCTCATTGTGATGAAGTGCACGATCCGAAATACTATTTTCAAAATTTTTGCGTTTGAACACCGTTGCACTATGCTGTTCTATCTAACTAACACGCATCAATATATCTACAAGTCTATCTACAAGGCTATCCAGACATTACATATTATATATCTGCAGGTGATGTTTTAACATGTACATAATTATTAAGCATGCGTATAGCTGATGAAAGGTGTAATACCTATGCACGTTCGACCGTTGGGTCCTAGGGTATACCCTGGTCTGCATGAGCAGAAGAAACTGCCGTCTGTGTTGGTGCAGTTTTGCTCACAGCCACCTCTGTCATGGCGAGCGCATTCGTTCTCATCTGCATATAATGATCACGATTAGATAGACAAAGCAATTAATTCTACAAAATACATTTAATTGACAGAATTTTAACGCGGAATTCTTACACAGTCTCTGTTCTCAGCTCTTCCTTTCGATCTCACCCCCGCCCCAATCTCTCTCTTTCTCTCGCTCGCTCGCTCTCCATATCCACTTCAATCCATCACATGCTTCTCTCCATTAAACTTCACCGCAAGATTAAAGTTATAATGTGAGTAAAATATAATTTACGATGACACGATAAGGTATATACACACCGACGCAGACTTCGTTTCGCAGCACATATCCGCGGCTACACGTGCACATGTATGAGCCGACCATGTTCACGCAACCGCTACCGCATATATCCCGGTAGAGCTCACACTCGTTGATATCTGCCGAGAAAGTTACGCCGAGTTAGTGTTCGTCAGTGAGTATCGGGAAGGTTTATCACACATTAATCATGAATATCACACGAGTGTACGTATAGCGTTCTTGCGGTCATCGGACTTTGCTATATAAGACTGAAAGTGTGCGTGTGCGTGCATATGTGTGTGTGCGTGTGAATGTGTATAATATATACAACCAAAGTAAGTAATTTTTCATGAAGTTAGTTCGCACACAGGTTCGGTTTTTTTGGGTAAGTTTTTCAAGACTGTGAAATACCATGCCGTGTGAAATGTATAGTATCGGCCAAAATATCGATGTGTGTAAGTATGTAAAATCGGAATAGTCCCAGAGATTGCTACCGGATGCATCCGTATTCGTGAAAACACCGGTTCTCGTCTGTGACATAATTTATTTGTCTATGATATAGGTATATGTATGCGCGTGCATGCGTTTCTGTCTCTCTCTCTCTCTCGCAGTTCTTCAGACACGTGCATGTGTGTGTGTGTGTGTGTGTGTGTGTGGCTGGTGGTGAGTGTGGTGTGTGTGTGTGTGTGTGGTGTGTGTGTGTGTGTGTGTTGTGTGTGTGTGTCGTGTGGTGTGTGATGTGTGTGTGGTGTGATGTGTGTGTTGTTGTGTATGGGTGTGTGTGTGTGTGTGCTGATGTGTGTGTGTGTGTGTGTGTGTGTGTGTGTGGCTGCTTGCGTGCGTGTGTGCGTGGCGTGTGAAGGGTGGCGTGACCGTGAAGCGTGTGTGTGGTATGCTTGTCGCCTACCTGTGCAGGTGCGCCGCATCCTCGGCGACATTGGAAGCCATTGTGACAGGCTGCATCGGTATCTGCCGTAAGTGTTGTGGCATAGGTCGGTGGCAGCACAAGTGCGTCGCCGCGCGCAGGTGCGTAGCCTCGTCGTGTCTGTTGACATCACCATCACGCCAGAGAGATCAATAAGAAAAGAAAACGATATTAGTTCACACTATGTTTCGATTTCGAACGAACTGGCATCGAATAATTATTCCAGCATTTATGGAGTATATACGCCGTCATATATGATGTGCCATCCTTTGGGATTACGACCCATTTTAGCCTCACTGATTTAAGTGGGCTACCTTGTCATATCGCTGTATCTTCATAGTGGTGAATATGCCCTATTTTCTTCTTAGATGCAAGTTACTATTTATCAGCCCCCCTCTCCCCACGCTCTGCCTCCTGCTCTTTTCTTTCTTGCCATGACTATTTTGCTAACTTTTTTTCTTTTGCTCTACCTCTCTGTCAGTATCTCTATCTTGTCGTCTTCCCTCTCTTCTCCGCCAACTCTCTATCAATCTTTTTCGTCGCTACTTCCTTTTTTCTCTCTCTCTCTCTCTTCCTCTCTCTCTCTCTCCTCTCTCTCTCTCTCTCTCTCATTCCCTATTTTTCTCTCCCTACCACCTCTCTCTGCTCTTACTCTGACTGTCAATTTACATGTCAGAGCTTCCTTCTAATATCGCTCAATTTCTCTCCAAGTCTGGTGGACATGCGAAGTGGAGGGCAATGTTTACCCAACCAACATCACATTGTGGTCAACAATAAACCCCCGCCCCCCCGCCCCGCACAGGCCAACGATGCCCTGGGAAACGCTGATTCACGTCTGCATTATGCTAACCCCCGTGAGCAGGCCGAATGCAGGCTACGCCTTCCGCGGACCAGGCACATCATCCGTAATCGGCCGGGCGTGTTCTGGCCTCTAAATGGTCGGGGCTCGGGCAGGTCGGGGCTCGGGCAGGAATAGGGCCGCGTGGCAAAACAGGAACACGTGCTGCGCTACTGAGCGCCTTCGTTTCCGGTTAAATCACTGCGACACGTGCATTTCTGCATGCGCGCGCGTGTGTGCGCGTCTGCGTGCGTGCGTGTGTATGTGTTTACGTCTGCGTGCGTGCGGGTGTGTGTGTGTGCGTGCGCGTGCGCGTGCGCCTTTAGTTGTATGTGTTTGTGCGTATGTGCTTGCGTGCGTACGTGTGCGCATATATATATTATAATATATATAAATATATATATATATATATAAATATATATACCGTACATAGAACATTGGCCGTACCGATGTATCTAGGTGTAGTGTGTGCGCTCACATAATTAAGCGGTAACTTCCTCGGTGACCGAAGGCAATACTGACAGATCACGCCGGGCTGCTGCGCGAGCTACCGACCGCATCGCCGAGCGTGAACTACGCCTCTACACGCACGCACGCACGCATATACCCACGCACGCACGCACACACACAAACACACACGCACGGATCTCGCCTGGCATCGCTCCCTTCAGCCCGCATCAAAATCATTGCAAACCCCCGTCGGCATTGCTAAGTGCAAGCTACATTCGTTTCGCGGACCCGGACTTCAGTGTAATGTTTCCCGTGATTCTACATTGCGAATAAAAAAAGCAGCGCGAACTGTGTGCGGCGTAATCTTACTCAATACGTTTAGTGAGGTAAAGAGATTGCTGAGTACGGAAAGAGCTATAGAAAGTTCAAGGCTTTCTGAAAAGGTGGCGCAAAAAGACAAGTGGTTCTGCTAGCCAGAAAAAATGAAAGTTGACAGCCGAATCGGGCCGTATGTCAAACTACCGACGTAACGTCCATTAGCACGCGTATATGCGGCGTCGATGGCTGAGAACTCGGTTTGCTGCTTGCTTGTCACACGCGCCAAGCTAACCTCACTCACCGACACAGGACAGGCCGTTACTGTGCAGCACGAACCCTCGCTGACAGGCGCAGTAGTAGCTTCCCGGCGTGTTGATGCAGATTTGATGGCACGGCTGCACCGCCTCCTCACACTCAATAATATCTGCGTGATAGCCAATGTGTCATTAATTAAACAGCGATGTAGAGATGCGTGTTATTTTATCGCTAATAAAGTAATATCATAATAATAATATTAATAATAGTAATAATAATAATCGCACTACTAGGAACAGCACACATCCTGCGAAAAATTCTGAATTGAATCCCTATGTCCCAGATTGGGACACGGCCAACCCAGAAGCCACCGGCTAATGCCACTTTGGAAATAATAATAATAATAATAATAATAATGATATTTGAGTTCATTCCTTGTTTCAACTCCTCGCCACGAACGGGTACTAAAGGTGTTGTTTTCGCATGCAATGCATGTATACTCACTTCTACATGCAAATCTACTTTAGTTCAACAGGTCCCCTTACTGTAGATATATATTTCAAATACTGAGAAATGACTACGTAAGAATTTATCACCTTTTGATTGTTTTTCTCATCATATTTTTATTTTTACGTGTTACTGTTTCAACAACATAAACTCTTGGTCCAAAGAACATGTATTATTCCCATGTTTAATTCACCCGGTTATCGAAATTATTATATAGCCATTGCCAGAGCTAAATTCTCTGAATAATTTCAGACACGTACGGAATGACAATGACATTATTAGTATGTACCGTGACATATTTGGTCTGTATCGTTGTACGTGTAGCCTTGTGGGCACCGGATGTCGGTCATTAACTTTGCTATATAGCCCAGCCTCGTCTGCGTCGAATTCTCATGAAGTTCCTGTATCAGTATCAATAAAACGTCACGTTGCCTCTCAGGTTTAAGGTGATGCGTTCACGTGGGCATCGCATTGCGCGCATAGCAAGTAGTGAGATCGCAAAAAGACAGTGAGTTATGGGTAATCGTGGAGGCTATTTTTGTGCTAGAGCATGCATGCGCGTTTGTATGTGAATGACGAGAGGGAGAGAGAGAGAGAGTGATAGAGTAGTTGGATAAATAGAGAAGAAGAGAGGGGGAGTAGAGCGGGCGCACAAAGTCGTGAGAATGCGAGACGGGGAGAGAGCGAGATAGGAGACTGTAACATTTCTTCAATAATTTCTTCAATACCAAGCAATCGCACGCTATCGGGCAATAAACCCAAGTACAACTACAGCGACGCGATTACGCGCTGTATGACCGCGATGCTACTGCCACCTACCTGCAGCTCGGTGATCTTGGGTGTCATTATCGTCTTCCTGTGAAAGCAGCCTGCTGCTGCTCCCGCGCCGGGACAGTCGCAAACATTGGGACCAACGCAAATTCCGGGATGGCACGGTGTACTGCATATAGCTACATCAAACATGACCATCGAAAGAAAGTCATTACAGGCGATACGTGTTTGGTTCATCAACACGTTATAGATTATTGATGCATGCATCGACATCGGGCATCGATCAGGCATCGATCGGGCATCGATCAAGCATCGATCATGCATGCATCGCATGTTTAGACGAATCTGGACATCGAATATACATTCTATATATCATATATCATTATATTCTTGACTATATTTAAGTCTACATATGTGTCGGCATCTGCTCGTGAGCAGAGTAACCATGGAGGCAGTAATTATGAACCTATAGACCCCCCTAGAGCTTCCACGGGCGCCCTACACCATTATCTTGTCGTAGTTTTACGACATTTTCGCATTGGAAGAAACCGCGTCACTGTGCATACGTACGCTGCGAGCATTCCTTGCCACCATTCGCAGTTTCCCATCCCGGGCAGCAATAGGTAGAGTTGTCATCGGTGCAAACATGTGGCCCACTAAAATATAATATGAGTATATATACTATATATATATATTTGTGCGTGCGTGCGTGCGTGCGTGCGTGCATGCGGGCGTGCGTGCGTGCGTGCGTGCGTGCCATGCGGGCGTGCGTGCGTGCGTGCGTGCGTGTGCGTGTGCGTGTACGTGTGCGTGTGCGCGCGTGCGTGCGTGCGTGCGTGCGTGCGCGTGCGCGTGCGCGTGCGCGTGCGCGTGCGTGTGCGTGTGTGTGTGCGCGCGTGTGTGTAAATACGATATATATATATATAGATAGATCGTCGGGAATATATATATATATATATATATAGACTGATATATGTAAATACTAAATACTAATTACTATATAAAAGTATGTATATTATAAAGTATGGTTACGTTGACAAGAATAAATAACGTGTTAATCTGAATATTTAATATAAACTGAACAATATGTTCGGCTATAATTGCGTTCCTACTTTTTCCATTCATATTTTCTATTCATTTGGAATCCACACGCGGGCTTCCTTTCTCTATTGTGCAGCCAGGCAACGTATTACAAAGACCCAATCAGTCACAATATATTTATTAGATCTTTCGTGACATTGCCGGCGAAATATATTTATGTCAGAATATATATTGCACAGGCTCTTATTGGACGCTTCGGCCTAACGCATTCAACTCGCTTCAGCTCGTTCTTTACAAATCGAGGCAGACTCTGGACGTTTAACGTCACATATCAGCCCTCATAGCGACTGACGTCCTGCAAGTTCCTCATTGATAAAATCGTTAGCGCTCGCATATCCACCATCGTTCGTATTCACACCCGTGTCCTCATCGACATTCAGCGTGCGGCCATCCGAGCGCACGCAAGCGGCGTTCTTTCCCCCGCGGGCATGCGATGCCTGGCTCCTGCTACCTAGATAACCTTGGCGATGCTGCTTGCGTATACATCCTCCGGTGCTCTCCCGGTTGGAGCCATGAAGCTGTGACCGACCCAGAGGTGGCTGGCGCGGGTTAGCATTGCGCGCACGTACTTCCCGTCGCTCACGTGCACGCCAGCCAAGGTTTTCGAACGGCGCGTTTTATCTGCAAGTCACGCGCACGTAATTGTGCGACACGGCTCGCCTGCGTCTAAGTGATGTTACATCTTAAACAGCAATATGGCAGGTTACGCCCGCGGGGTGGCGTTCAGGTCAGCCGCAAGTCAACCAACGCTGCGAAGGGTCGGAACGGTAAGAGAAATGGAGGGCTGCCTGATAACAAGTTACAGAAAGGAGGCGTGAGCACCAGTCTATGCGGGTTAACCTCGTAGGAGATTTATAATGGAAGGTTTCTAATTTTGTCAGCTGATATTTTGATGTTATCAGGAGTAAATAAAAACCAATTAAAAATACAGTTTGCAGATTTTGGTCTGTTGTTGATTTGTCGGTTGTTTGTTTTTATTCTCTCCCGATGTTGTTGTTGATCACTCGGTTCGTACTGATTTTGTTCTTCATTAATCCTTACTTAACTATACGTGTACGGGTGCAATTTAACCTGTAATAAATTCGATTATTAACGTGTCAATGTGCGTAAATAAATATGGCACTCGTTTAGTGACTCCGACTCTGTGTACAGCACAATAAGGGTATAACGCACGACGTGTATCGGTGCCCGACACTTGCCATATTCTTTGCGTATTATAGCCATGAGATTTATACACACAGCCCTATATTGCTCGAATCCATTGTCCTGCCTGTGCCCGAAGTACGCCAGCGCACGCTTTCAGAGTGAAGGGGAAAGTTTTGATGTCCGCAAGTGGGTAAGTAGGTCAGATGTGTCGAGAAAGAGAGAGAGAAAGAGAGAAAAAAAACTGCGTGTACAAAAGTAAAAGTGAATCGACGGCGGCGGTGATTAGTGGGTGAAAGTGATGGATGACAGGGCGGCTGTCGTCGTCCTCCCATGATGTTGGTGCGCTAGGTCGCCGCACGTCCGCTTGCCTCCGCATCTAGGCACCGTGCCAGCAGTAAATCTTAAGAAAGAAACGTCGTGGGAGGAGGAGGAGGTGAACACGCGTTGGTGCGTTTACGGTCGTGGGCGGGGCAAGTCACAAGAGCGTTGTTGTTGACAGGTGACAGTCGGCCGACTTCCGGGTCGTCGCAGGCGATTACGTACGAAAAATATTTGTTGACAGAATTTGTGCTTTTTGACTTCCGGATCGCCCCCGTAAACATACCGACGCGCCTGTGTATGTCGCGCGTTGCGTGCGCTGTGCTGGCGTTCGTGTGCTGCTGCGGCGCCAGTGCTGTGGCCGGGCGTGGCCTGTGCGTGTGACGTGGCGTGGGTGTTGTGTAGTCAGCAGCGGCAGCGATGCTTGCGTGCGTCGCAGGTGCGCGCAGCGCCAGTGTGTGTGTGCGCGCGTGCGTGCGCGGGCGTTGCGTGCGTGCGTCACCGTGTGCGATGCGCGCGTGATGTGAACGAGAGAGTAGGCGATGTGTGTCTACTGTGTACTGAGTGTCTGTCGTACCGTGTCTAGTGTGTGTGTGGGCTGTGTTTGCGCGCAAGCGCCTGTCTTGTGTGGGTGTCTGCGTGCGTGCGTGTGTGCGTGCGTCCGATTGTATGTATGACGCGGGCACGTTGCAGTAACAACAGTCACGCGGCAATCCCGTGCCCCACGTCTCGTCTGCCGTTTGTAGGTTCCAGGGTCACCGTTCTGCATGCGACTAGTAAAATGAACTCACTACGCGACTATTAAAATTATTATCTAAGACATTGAATGTATTTCTATTAAGTCACTGACGAATGAAACTAGAGGAGACTCAGGAGATCACCACACGCCTCGTTTCCATATAATTTTAAGTTTTTAACAGAGCCAAACGGGAGATGCACACGAACAGTCACATGTGGTGCATGTGAGACGTAGGAACCATCCTATTTTTTCCGTGGACATCACAGTCATTTAGTTATGTTAATCTCAGGCAGCGACCGATAGATTATCGAGCGAAACAATTATGTCATCGTAGTATTCTTTTTGCTACGAACTATCTAATGCTAAAGAGAATAACTATTTTGCCCCGAAAGATGTCGTTCGTTTATCATAAACAATCTGCTATCTGTTTCTATATGTAAAATAGTAGGCCTACGCTTGCCGTGTTGTGCCACTTGGTAATGTGTATATTTATATGTCATAATTGAAACGTTGCAAACTAGTTTAATTATTCAACACTCTTTAAGCGCGAGATATCCGATAGATTTCAGTTTGGCATGCTGCAAGGACGAACCTAGTCGTTATCGTCGAGGCTAAACTAAACTCCGATGCGGGTATGGAGTGCATTTTAGTTTAGAAATAGCCAAGATATACGAACCGCAAGCTTGCTACTTCATTATCCTGCGCTTGTACGTCCCAGATCCGTTCCACCAACAGCAGTTCGCAGAGAAAAGCAATCGTCAATAAAAATCTCAACATCTTCACTCTTCTTTCCGCATCCTCCGGCGTGCAGCCCGGGTTATCACAGACACACGCAAGCAAACACAGCGGCTATATCTTCCACACTCTGTGTTCACGAGTCTCTCCTATAATACGCGGGCACTGCGTGAAGCTGTTTATGCTGCTACTGCTCGCAGGCTAGTCCCTGCCACCGGATGCCACCGCAGCAGTCGCCGCGATCCCGCCGCGCGATGAGTCTCTCCAAACACATCCACGTTACCCCCCGGGCAATGATTACTCAACACGATGGCGTAATCTCGGAGGGACGGAGAGAGGGGGAATTCTTCTCGGCTTGATGTCTCGCGTGGTGGCGAGTCGGCGTGTCTCTTTTCGGCGGTCGGTGGCGCTCTCTCCCTCTCTCTCTCTTGCTGTGTTCGTGGGTGATGTGCGGACGACGAGGCTGCGTGAGTGTGTGTGCGTGCGAGCGCGCTTCGCACGGTCTCTCCTCGCGAAGCAGTGAAAACACGAGAGCGGTCGCCGCGCGCACGCAAGTGGTGCGCACATGTTCGTTTGTAATCCTATCGCGCAGCCTGCCGTGTGGGCCGCCGCTGCGTCGTTACGGGTCATTCTCGCCGTACGTGCGCAGGCGGCGGCCTCGCGCAATGTCGGCTGTGCATCGCCACATGTCTGCCGAAGGACGGACGCCTCTGTGCGTATCGAATAAAAGAGGGGAAATGTACATGACAGATCTCTGCACAGCTCTGGGCTACATGGCTGGCTGCTGCCGAGAGAGTGCACGCTGGAGGAGAGAAGGGGAGGCCGGAGAGAGAGAGAGAGAGAAAGAGAGTGAGGGGAAGGTCGAGAGAGTGGGTGAGGGGAAGGTCGAGAGAGTGGGTGAGGGAGGCGGAGTAAAAGAATGAAATGGAAAGAAAGAAATGGAAAAGCGAGACAGGGAGGGAATGAGAGAGAGAGAGAGAGAGAGAGAGAGACTTAACGAAAAAAACATGGCCAGATAAATATATAGAGTAGATCGAGAGAACTAAGAGATTAGACCGTGACAGAGAGTTTAGAATAAAGGCGAAGAAGTGAGTCAAAAAAACTGCTAGGGAAAGAGGTAGAAGAGAGAGAGAGAGAGAGAGAGAGAGAGAGAGAGAGAGAGAGAGAGAGCGAGAGAGAGGAGAAAGAGAGAGAGAGAAAGAGAGAGAGAGAGGGGGGAGAGAGAGAGAGAGAGAGAGAGAGAGAGCGTACGAGGGAGTGAGAGAGGGAGTGCGGTCAAGATACCACCAACTTTTTTCCCACTCGTTTGAAACTAGATTATATAAGTCACCGAATAAATCGATGCCTCCATTCCACTGTTCACAGGACGCATGATTTTTTCAATCAAAATCTAGATTGAGCGCTCGTAATTGAGACATAGATCGCTGTGCGTTGTTCCGCTCCGATGCATTCTTATATTAGTCTGCAAGGTTTTTTTCTGTTTCTTTAAAGAGATATGTCAATGCCATTGCCATAATCATTCCGCGACCTCCACGATAGTCATGATTGTGACGTCATGCGCAAAGGCGTGCAAGGCATATCAAAGACCGTATTCAATAGGATACGGTCTTACACTATATGCGGCCTGTAGTTTTATTCAGAAATTATACGATTCGAACTGTGATGACCTCGGAACAATATCAGTTTAGACCAGCTTTCCTTCGAGTAGTGAAAGCAATCCGTCCATCATAAAGCGTACGTACGGTACGTTTCGTAACGTCTACTCCGTTCACAACAGATTCAATAATACTTCACAATGATTATCCTCCATATAATAATCGAAGATGAGTTCCTACGGACATTTTCTTCGGATAGAAGAAATATTACAATCAAATTATGGATATGAGAAATAAGCAAGTAAAGTATTAAGCGGGTGGAGTGGGGTGGTGGGTAAAGGTAACGAGGTTGCGTCTAGCGTGTCTGTTAACTGTACGTGAGTTGACAACTTGACACCGAGGCAAGTTAATTTGGTGGCGTTAGCTCTCTCGGAATTATACATGTTATACGCCGATTGGCGTTCACTTCACTTGCGTCTCAGGTGTTATTTCACACGCCAATCAGGTGTAAAATTACGCATGATTCACATACCATGTTTCTATATAACACTCTGCGTCAGTGTATGTGTTTGCAGCTATGCGTGCGTGGGTCTGTGCGTGGGTGGGTCTGGGCTCGTGTGCAGGTGCGAGCGTATGTTTTCACGTGTGAGTGCGCACCGAGTGCGTGCATATAAATGGGGTAGAATGTGCTATAACACACACAGTGTGTGCGCATGTACGTGCGTTCCTGTGAAATATATCGCAATAAATTATATGTGTTCCGAGCGCATCATTATCATACGTATATATATATGTATATATATATATATAAGTATCGAGCATTTTAACATTTTCAACTCGTTTTGGTTTACACGCCCTGTACCGAACGTAGACAGACAGCATTTCCTTTTTAGAAACACGAGAGTCGAAACTCGAAAAATTGAGAGCAGTGGCAAAACGAGCCAGTAGATGGCGATACGATACAGTCAACATGGAGAGCGCCGATTCAGAAGTTCCAAAAACTCCAACATGTGATTCAAACACGGCAACACAAACAGATAACAAGCTTACTAATAGCGATAAAGAATTAGACGCATTGTTGGACAGTACGTTAACTTCTTTGCTTAATCACATAATTTGCTTTCCATTAATTAAGACTATACTATTTTAGTAATATTGCGAAGGTGTAACGTGTGTCTTTCAATCTGTCCTGACAGTCACACTAGCCACAAGACTTAGTTCCCTTCTTGCTTAACACTACGTTGGTTAGTCCTACGATGTGTAACAGTCGGAGAGCCTGGTCGGTTTATCCTTACACTAGCTCTAGTACTATTAATAGCTCGCGTACAGTTGCCGCAGGCCCTATCCTGACAGTGACACTAACTTAGTCTACGTACGACACGTCCCGAAAAATCAAGGTTTTGTTGCTTGTTTGATGATTATGATAGGCAGCTGGTTAAGTGTTTAACCTGGTTAAGTGATCTAGACTAGCCCAATGAGGCTGTGTTTAAAGGGATAGTAGACTCTAGGATTTTTCATGCATACAACTGTACTTACTGTATAACAAATCGTCTATACCCACACGTATTTGTTACCAGATACCTAATTTAATTGTTATAATTAGTTACACATCAATGCTACGAAATTTGAACGGCGCCATGACACCCGCGACCGTGCTGCCACCCCAAAAAAGTTGCGTATTTGACAATTTATTTTGCACGTTGCAGACCGAGGGCTAATCACAAAAATGCAATTATATTTATACCTAAATGCTATTTAACCAAACGATATTCATTTTAGGGCAAATTTATCCATAATTTATTATAACTGAAACTATATGTCGTTTATAAGATATTACAATCCTTTTGCTTTTAAATTAATAAATAAGAAACACCCTCGGTCTGTAGTCCTTGGCTGAAAAGTTGTTTTGCGCAACTTATCAGATCGTGCGCTTTGAGTGGCGCCACCGTCGTTGTAATCAAACTGTAGTCGTTAGTTTTAAAACATTTTTTAATAATATTTCTAATGGTGATTGAACCATGAAACTTTTTATGTAGCGTAATTTTAACCTAAATTAACTGAAAATAACCCTAGAACCTAGAGTAAACGATCCCTTTAATGTTTAAGTGCTACATACAAGAGGCCAATACAGCCTTTAACACATTCAACTCTGCCGGTGTTAACAATTAATGCACCTACCGCCCTGCGCTGCGCGCCCTGCGCTGCGCGCCCTGCGCGGGATTTTTGCGTTTTTACCGCGCATTCATTTGTTGAATTACCACATTTCCTTTGCAGGAAAGCTAACCAAACTGACACATTTACTCTGCATGAGTGTTATCTCACGCTTACACATTCAAATAGTATGAAAATCGTTCCCCTTTATAATAATATATTGATATTAAAACGGGGCAAAAACTGACATTTCATGCATTTTTGTCTCAAATGCCACCGCACCGGTGGATTTTCGCGAGTTTGTTATGATATCAGTCGACAGTTTATTATTTTATCTCGGTAAGAAATGTGACACCGCTTACACATATGTGAGGTATGAACCTTGTTTTGTGTTTCTACATGCAAAAATTCCTCAAATTTTATATACTACACCGTTATTATATTATATACCGTTAGGAAAACGGTAAACAAACCTTGTTTTGATCTACGCCTTCTAGGCCTACCGCAGTCTACCTTGAGTCTCAAAACTTCTAATTTCACGTTCGAATCAATGGTAAAGCAATGTATAAGACTGGGGTAATATAGACTGTCCCTGTTTAATTTCTAGGTAGGTCTTGCCATCTGTTGGAAGTCAGAGTAACAAAAACCAATAATCTATCCACGAGCTGACTCGTGGATCCGCGGGGATGCGTTTTGATTGTTCCCACGAGCTGACTCGTGGATCCGCGGGGACCGTGTTAAGAAGCTTCGTTCAAGGATCAAGGATGTTTCTACACATTCAATCTTGTGGTTATACACGTTGAAATTCATATCCCATCTATGATCTTGCTTCTCAGCGTACTGATTACTGCTGATAAGGCCAAAACAAAATATAGGTGTGGTTACGGTTTCCCGACCGACCCTATTTATTCCCAGCGACCCTAAACATTTTATTGTAAATTTTCTTTAAAGTCAAAAAAATAATAAAAAAATAAAATAAAAAATGAATTGGACAGTTCCTGCTTCAAAAGGCACAACGCACATTCTTCGGACACGGTTCGTAAATAAAATATTTCAAGAAAATAAAATGTTTTCCCTACCTACCTACCCTATTTTTTTTCCGGCATGTAACGGTAACCACACATATATATTGTTTTGGCCTTAGAGAAACGATGTCGAATTCCATCTATACCATTTGGACTGTTAAGAATTATTATTACGAGATTATGAGATTATAAGGTGCATTAGATGCATCCCAAGTTTACAAAACAATCTGCAAAAAGTGGGTTCATAATGTTATTAATAGCCCTTACCACTACTAGCAGGTATATATGCTCACAATAAAACCAGCTATAAGTTAGCAATATTATAACATCCTTGTTTGCTTTATTATTTTAACCCACAAAAATTTGGTCAATTTCATAAACCCTTAACACCATACTGTAGGCTGTTCTGCTTATGTTTATAAAATACTGTACTAATACTGTAGTGTACTGTAGCTATAAATATATTAGCTGTTGTTATGTTCACTACACTGACCTTCAGCTTATGGAGCACGAGGTGGTTTTTGGAGACATTTTTGGAGTAGAAAATTGATCCTATATACAGTGAAATATCTTACTAATGCAGGACATGGAGATTATAATGTTAGTACTAAATAGATCCTAACTATCTGTCATAATTAGTATTTTTTGGTGTAATATTAAAAACACTGGCCACAGACAGCCATTGCAGGGTAGTGTACTAGATTGGTTGAAAATGTCAGGACAGCATAGTGTAACTTAAGCTTAAATGTATAGGCATCACATATTCAATTGCTGCTAGGTAAAATATAGCCGTTATATATTTTAAATGCAAAATTGAATGCTATAATTGTATATATTAATGCACTAGGTGGTACTAAATATTTATTTGTTAACAGGCGCCCTTGAGGGTTTTGACCAACCCATACCAACAGAGCCCACAGGTGAAACGACTTCTGCTTCCCCGGGAGAAGCACAAGCTGAAGTAATAGCAGTAACTACTGTAACGACAGTTTATGTTTTTCCTGCAGCTTGTTGCATTCAGTCACAACCATCGGTTGTATTCCTGTATGTTTGGTAAGGTAGCTCCTACTGAAGCCAAACTATAAACTCTATTGTCGGATGGCTTTATTCAAGAGTGTGTACTAACATGAACCGTGACTACTGAATATACATAGTGATTACTATTACTAGTTATGATATGTTACTCCTTTTTTTATGCCAGTGTTTTGTAAAGGACTTGAATCATCAATGCATGATAGCTTTTGTGATACGGAAATCTGCCATAATATGTACTTATTTTCATACAGGGCTCAAATGCAGAGGCAACATTTGATACAGGAGCCCTATTTAAGGAGCTGTTTGAAGCAGAAAGTGCCACGCAAGCATCTGAACAGTTTGAGAAAGCAATGCAATACCTAATGGTAGATGAACCAGAGTTAGGGGAACAGTTTCAGAAATTGACTAAATCTGCACAGAAAGCAGGTAAATAAAATGTGTATCCTAATGAAGTCATCATCAAATTTACTGTGCGCATACTTGACCAGTTTAAGTTTATTGATATGTATGGTGTAGTGTGGAAAAAAGCATGGCAGTGCAGGCATACATTGACATAATTCAATGGCAGTGTATGTATTGCATCTGTACAAGCACATGAGGTAGTCTTGCGTTAGTACCAGCATGTATTACTACAGGGATATGTAAATACAGGCACGTGTTACTACAGGAGTGTATAAGTAGAGGTCGTGTATTAATGTGGCGATGTCTTGGTGTGAGCATGTGTTACTATAGGTATGTGTTTGTGCAGGTGGGCATTAGGATTGATAAGTGTTAGTACAGGCGTGTGTGTATGTAGGCATGTATTAGTCTAGGTATGTGTTAGGGTAGGTGTGTATTAGTACATGCATGTATCGGTACAGGCATGTGTTGGTGTGGGGACATGGTAGTGCTGCACAGGTGTGTTTTAGTATAGGCGTAATAAGTGTAGGGATGTGTTAGTGCAGGCACGAGGTGAAGAGACATGTATGAATGCCAAACATTGCCAGAGCAAATCAATGTAATGTTACAGGGTCATCACCAGAGGCAAACAAAGAATTTGCAGAATCCTTGTCTGGCACACTAAATAGTCTGGCCCAGGATGCCAAGTCATTACAGGTATTATTTCATAGTCATTTAGTTGCTTACCCTTTCTGTCTCTGATTAAAAGAAATAGAATGAGGCAGCTTTGCATCTTGCACATTCTCATCCTGCTTGAAACTGTTTGTGTACACAAAACTGCAAAATTTACTAGAGTGTGGTATGAAAAATTAAACAGAAAATATAGTGGTCCCATAATTATAAATGGCTAAACTTACGTAATGGGTATTATTTAACTTTATTATGTCTATCATCTTGTCATGTTACTGCATGGTTACTAACTGATTTCTCTTTTCATTCCAGACAGAGTTTTCAGAAACAGATATACTGGATGCAATGAACAATTTGGGAGTCGGGGGAAGTGAAGGTGGTGCTAGTGACCCATTTATGCCAATGATGCAAGGTCTAATGCGAAACTTACTATCAAAAGATGTTTTGTATCCATCACTCAAAGAAATATCTTCCAAGGTACAAGTTGATTCTTTTTTGTACCTTGTGTTTTGCTGGCCTGCAGCAATTATAGTCTGAGTGCACATGGCTTGAGGTGAATCAGCTGTGATTTATATTTCAGGTGTAGGTAAGGTATATGTGTGTCTAAAACTAGACATTGGTTATCATATTGTGAATTCTGCACGTGCATATAATTTCTGTCTGTCACATTTGATCTACTGATAATGTCTAATGTTGATTCCAGCAGGTCAATAATCACATTATCTACTTCTGATAGAAAAGTCTTTTCTCTCTGTTGTCCTCAGTACCCTGCATGGCTCGAAGCGAAAAAGGGTGTCATAGATCAAGCGGAGCATGACAAATACAGCAAGCAGTGTGAGCTGATGGTGACAATATGTACAGACTACGAGGCAGAGACTCCAGGGGACAGCGATCAGGTCAAACAGGAGAGATTTGAGCGAGTCATGACCATCATGCAGGAGGTTTGCAGCTAATTAAGTTAACGGTGTGACTGTTTGTTTTAAAAAAAAGTCATTATTCTTCGTTCATGCCAAAATGACATATCCTAATGGATAGTTTCTAATTTTCAGTAAATTCAGAAAAATTAATTCTCAATACTTGTTTTCAACTGAACCATCTGTTTAATGATTCTTTCAGTTCATCTTCAATAATAGAATGAGGCACCTGCTAACATGATAATTATTCAAGGAATTATCGTAGAGAAAAATGATCATATTTCATTAGTTGTTTCATTATATAAGTGTTTCAAGATGTCTTATATTTTCTGATAGTTTATTCTGCATGAAAATTGTTGTTATCTTTGTTTATTTAGATACATGTAAATTAATATCTTTCCATGTTATCTTCTGTAAATTACAGATGCAGGAGTTGGGTCACCCACCCACTGATATCACTGGTGAAACAGGGGTGAGTATGAAATCTAAATTAGGGGACTAATGCACGTGTAGTGCAACCTTACTTGCGATGTTTGGCATCATGTACTATGTATCAGGATCCATAATGACTGTACGCATCTCTATTTACAATGCAATAGTTTTTTTATGTTGCTGATTTTATGCCGACGGCTTTGTTATATCATTTGCATAGGCATTTTAATAAGAATAAGAAGAATAAGAACGAGGTATATCTATATATTTTTCTATTAGCTTGTGAATCATTGTCTTAATTTGCATCATACTGGTTACATGAACTAGACCCATTTTGTTGGTCTGCAACAACATATCAGAGAATGGGCATGTTTCTAACTTACTAGGCTGGACATAGGCAGCAGATGAATCCTGTGTGAATGACCAGGGTGTCTGTGTTATTTCTCCTCCAGGGAATACCTGGCATGGCAGAGCCTGCACTGGGTGGTTTGCAGTTTGATGAACACGGGATGCCGAAACTTCCGCCAGGGATGGAAGAACAATGCAGTGTGATGTAAGAACAGTACAGCATTTAGCAGTGAATGATTTGCATATATTTTCACAGTTTTCACCTAGATAAAGAATAATTATTAAGTGTGAACATTGCTTTGCACAATTGTAATGAAGAGAATTATAGCATTTTACATGTATTTTTTGCTACCTTTGTACAGAAATGGATAATAAGCTAGCAAAATCTGGGTCAGATTATTTTATCTAGGACTAGGATTAATTCCTTAATTTATAAAAATCGTTAATTATAAAACCAAGCAGAAATATCTGCAGCATGCAAGGACTACTAATGCACAACTACTAACACAAAAATTCGTCCAATTCGTTTGATCCGAAAGATGATGTAATAATGTGTCATTAAATACATAAAATGAAACCCACTTCACAGGCCACATATGTGCGTTGAATGTGTTTTCTGTTATTGCATCCAAAATATGTGCTTATGAAGAACTCTGCTGCTCGCACACTGCTAGAATTAACTCACGGCCACATACTGTTAATGCACTTTAATTTTTATGTGCAATGCTACAACATTCGGTGGTGTTGCTGTAACAGTATCAGAGCAATATCTGGAAAGCCACTAATACGTTTTGGCTTGTCTAGCTCGGAGTAGCTCCAGTATTCCCCCACACAGCTTTGTTTGGTGATGTCGCTTACTATGCATGCAGACTAAAAAATAATCACTGTTCTGACATACATTTTGGTTGTATCATTTTATAATGGGATAACTTGTTTAGATTGCCTGCTTCATCTTTTGCATCGTTCTTGTATAGAAAGGAGATTGTTGTTCATATCTCGTTTTTCTCTGTGTGTGTTTGTACAGGTAACAAGTAATGTCACGACATGTGTTTTTGTATGTAAGGAGATAATAGCGTGCAAAATTATTTCTGCTGTGAACGTATATTGAAATATCCATTATTAGTTCAATATCCATATTCACGTTTTACATTGGAAGGTTCACAACTTCACGTTCACATTTCATGGTTCACGTTTATGCCATGTCTATCACCATAACTGTGTATTTGCTAGTGACCTATATGTAGGTTTACAAGTGTGTGCTTGTTATGCAGTATGCATATATGTGAGAACACACGCATCATCACTCTAGTTATCAACTCGATTCTATCACCTATTCCTAGGATCTTATTCATGTTGTGAATGTTAGATGGTCAAATAGAAATTTGGGTTTTCTCATTAGGTTGATGTTGTAAACTATAGCCATGTAAACTAGAAATTGGTGATTTTTAATGAGTGCCATCATGATGACAGATTTGCAGCTATAGATTCACAATTAACTGGTTTGGCCATATTAGCAGTGATAAAGTAGTAACCTAGGAATATACATGTAAGAACATTGTGATTTGAAAAAAAAAAGTATTACAAAACTTATAATTATAATAAGTTATATGCTTTGTCATTTTATTGTTAACATTTCTTTAATTGTTGTAATGAACTAGTCGGAACCAAATAAAATGTCAAAGTTTACTTTGCATATAATATGTTAGTTATGCTACTTTGAGTACTTGAAAACATTTGCCAATAATTAAACAGCATTAGATAAACATTTTACTTTACATTACACTGCCCTAGCTATCTATACTGGTCTAGTTTAAAAACAAGGGTAATTATATATGTAATGTGATAAGTAACCATGCGTGATTCCAATCATTGACATTAACAGTTGCCATACTGATATATATATATATATATATGACATTTATCTATTTTTTATCGTGAACAAATATGTTGACTAAGTAATAGACGTCATAATTACGCGACTCTGAGGCTTCGTTTTTGGTTGATCTTTTTTCCTCATAGATGGCAGGGCGATATTATCTAGTCATGTATAGGTATCAATCGCGAAGGAACTACTTGTTGTACTTTATTGTACGTAAAATCACTGATTTAAATAATATAATATTTTTTATTTAGTTATCTACCATTCATTGTAGTATTTTGTTTTATATATGTCTTATAATAAAAGTCATACATTTGTAATCTTCTAAAAGCATTCATTATCTCACCCAAACTATGTTTTGTGCGCGTATTGTTTTAGCGTGAGCCGTCCAAAGAGCAGCAACAACTTTCTATTGATAAGAAGTGCATTTTTTCGATGTTTTCCAACGACTTGCATAACTATAGTGCATATTATTAGTTGTTCTTTGTTTACAACTGCTCAGTTGCTTATTTAGAAATCAACCGCGCTGAAAACTGTGAGATAAGGCAGAGCATGGTCGACAGTTAGTACGTAGTCCGAGTAATGGGTGTGTGTTTACATGTACTTGTAAATTTAGCCATGCCACTGGCGACGAACGAAGGAACTAACTGCTGAATCATTTCTGGGGCCATGCTTTGAAATACCAAAGTAACCCTTTAAAGATTGACATTGGAACTTCTTAATGAAGCCAGGCCGTCGGAGACGGACTACCTATTTGGCATAATACCTAGTAGTAGTACACAAATTACACAGGAGTCATAACATAAGTCTTGGCCTCATTAGTGACATTACCTTTATATGGGTTAAAGTGTGATTGAAAACTTCACTTGAAGATGGATAGTCGACACAGCAGCGAAACTGATAGGTAAGGTGGTCACATTATTAGTATTATTATAATCGCAAGTGGTTCTTGTACTAACTACTACTATTACTAGTCACTATTCCCCCCCCCCTCGTTTATTTGAGAAGTTATCCGTACATTGCCAAATGAAGTCATTGCGTGAGTGAAAATAGCGACTGCCTGACTGCGTAAGGAAAGTACACAAAAAGCACGTCAGATACACTTATTTACTTAGAGGTCAATGTGCAACCCTGTCAATAACGAGTTATCATACAAATTTCTTTAGTCTTCAGACATAGATTTGATAACCATACATGATGATTACAGAATGTCTTTGCACAAGTTTAGAAAGTAGTTCATTGCTAAATTTTCAACTTGATGGCATTAAGTGTTAAGCTGGTCGAACCCACTTGGGGTAGTGGCGTGGATCTGCAGCCATCCAGTATAGCTGGTCCAGGCCTCGATTTCATACATATTTAGAAAGGAGTATGATTTACAAAGTAGATCTTTTTAATTACTTATCTTGTTACACATTACAAGTTTGTTACTTTTTACATGTATATAGCTCAGATATTGATATTTATAAGATAGCCAAACAACCCCCTCGCAACATTTAAAGGTTCCATATTATAATCTAGCAGATTCATATTGCTACTGTAGTGTAGATTTATATCAGCACCAGAGGCTGGTATCAGAAATCATCAAAGCATTGTTACCCATAATTATTAATTATTTGTATCTGTTTGTATCTAATTGTTATCTTATTGCTGGGATTGCTTAAGTCTAGCGCAGACCTGCGACTTTATCATACAACTCGACAGCGATTCTAGATGTAAAAATTCTGTAAAAGTTGCTGTGAAATCGCTACGTCTGCGGGAACGTGCAACTGCAACCCGTAGCGATTCTGGTCGCTTGCGACGAGTTGCAAGAAATAAAACTTTTTGGATTTTGTGCGACTCGTCGCTCCCAATCGCTCCCAAATTGTTCTAGAATTGCTTTGAAATCGCATGTGTGCACACATGCGGTGACACATCGACTGATCGCTTGCTGTTGCAGGTTGCAGTGACGAGCCACCAAAAATCGCAGGTCTGTGCTAGGCTTTAGCATCCTCGCCACTCGCCAGTATTTTCTTATGGCATTCCTGTGCATTTTTATATTTGTAATGAGCAACCAAAGCACTGGCTTCCCATGATTTCTCTCTGTTTGAACGGGAAAATGTTAACATGCTTTAGCTATCTTATGCAGCCCTATTTCCGTGTATATGTGTATAGTATATTATGTGTGGTATATACCGGTGTCAATTTGGCAGTAAGCTGCAAGTATTAACGTTGGGTTTATCGTAAGTAATTAATACTTGGTTGGTAGAAATGGTAGAAATAGGTACTGACTGAGATGTATGGACTGCCGTGTCAATGTTGCGGCAGTTATTGCGAAGACTGCCTGTGATCCTGTTTTTCAGTTGCTGTGAAGATACAGCGTGGAAGTGCACGTGTTGAGCTTTATACAGTACTTACCGAGAGCTCAGTCCTGTTTTACTTGCCCCAGGCCTTAGGATTGCAGGAGCTGTTCTGGTCGTCAGAAACATGTACCAGTGTAACTGTGTGTGTGATATTTTTTCAACATTGTGTACAAGAGCAAACTAGCTTGATCTTACCTGAGTAAAACCACGTTTTAAATGAAATGAATGCATAATTTTAATATATGATGCAGACTGGTGATCTTGTTTTAGAGAACTTTCATTCACTTTTATCCTATGGTGCTAGACAAATGTATTTTGAGTAAACATCGGCAGTGCATTGTTATGGTGTGCGTCTATGTTTACGTGCCTGTGCGTTCTAAAACATTGATATTGGGGCCCTGCATTGTTGACCTGCATTTAGAGCTAAATACAATTCATTAGGACTAGGAGTTGGTTTCATCATATTGCCTTAGACCTTTCCTTTTCCAAAAAAGACTGGATTATACTGGCTTATTACAATTAGTCAGCGTTGATCCATGCGTGTCGTTGATCTATGAATATTTGCAAATGGGAGGAAACCATAGATCTATAACCATCTATTCGTAGGTATAGTTATTTTTTCTCAAATGTGTAAATCTACAATGCAGATAGCTCTTTGTGTGTTGATGAACTGTAATGCAATTATTACTTGTAGTTGTTACTATTGTATGCATGCTGGTGTTCCCTCGTGTGCAAATGTGTCCCCCTGTACATGCCCATGCGTGTCACTGCATTAAAACACTGTCAATCAACCTTCAACCTTGCCGTGTCACCGCGGTCAGGCCATATTGTGCCAGGTATGTACAGCAGTCAGGTGTGTGCGGGCCGACCGCAAGTACTTCGCAGAGAGCTGCCCTGTCAGTGAAAGTTTGGGAAACCGGGTCCCTTTTCTGGGAACGTTCGCTTTTAAACCCGCCTTTCGTTACATTTCGTTACAGGAAAACATTTCTAGATTCTAGTACCTTCTACAGCGCTGCCGCGTCCCTCGCAGACAGCCAGCCGCGCAGCTGCGCGTACATGCATGCCTGCACACACCAAGCGATCGCCGCGCGCAGGGGCCAGTCGGTAGACACACGTGCATGGTGACTTGCTTCGGAGATGGGGGGAATGCACTGCTAGTTACTACTTGTGGCACCGACCTTTACAAACCTGCCCGCACATCCCGCGCGAGCGTGCGCGTGCGTGCGTGCGTGGACGCGTGTTTGACGTCACTGTCAGTGGTTGTTGCTGCTAATGTTTTTAGCTCACCTTGACATCGTCAAGATGAGCTATTGCCATGGGTCGTCGTACGTCCTTCCGTCAACATTTGGCTACGGTCAACGATAACTCAGGAACCGTTTGACCCACATGTTTGAAATTGGGTATAGTTGTTACTGCTTTTGGAGCACGCCAGTCGACGTACTTTCGAGCCACGGCAATTTTTTGGCAAAAATGGAAATTGCCATTAGACAGTTCAGGTTCAACAGATTTTGCTCATTTTTGGCATGTGAATGAATAAGGGCTGGCTCCAAAACGTATTACAAGGGTTTTAATATTTAAAAAAAAATTATGCAAATTAGGTAGGTTTTGGAAATTATATAGCATATTATATAGACACGCAGATAACAGTCTGTGGTGTCACACTCGTCTGGTTCGTTTTACAAGATTTCATTGACAATATCTTTAATGCAAAATTGGTATTTCCTCTCCACCCTGCCGATAAAACGTCTATATTAGAGTAAAGTTTTACAAAACATGTTGGAACGCAGCATAACCTATTTATTTCGAACACCATCGCTAAGAAACATCAAAGCGGGTATAGCGCCATCTACCGTCACAAATTGTGATTTATTTTGGTTTATAAATTGTTATTGCGATATACAGATGGCAACCGTGTGCTACCGCCTAAAAAATCTCATACGAAGTAAACACTTCCATGCAACCAATTAATCTTTGACAAAAGTTCTGTTATGGTCAGGGAAACACCATTGTCACGTGGTATATAGCAGCTACGTGGAATAAGCGTATCCTCTCAATCTTACACGTTACACATTGGTAGCTCTGCTTTTAGGCAGTGCCTAAATCTGAATATTATAAAAACGTTAAATGGCGATCATTTAGGTGTAACGCCATCACTCGCCCACATCTCAGACTCGAGCCGCTTTATATTGCTGCTCGGCAATCTTGCATTCCATTCCTCCTATACTTAAGTAAGGAGGGAAATGTCCTTCTTTTTACACCTCTTGACCCTTTCGCACCTCTCCCCCCAAGCTTCGACATTCCAACGTCGTTTTCGCGATTACCCCCCCCCGCCCGTCCGAAATTCAGTGCCGTGACCGTCCGGAGCCGTTGTAGATTTGTGCGCCTCAACTGTTGACACCGCAACGAACGGGCCCAGCTACGCAACGGGACGCACGGTCAATCAGCTGCGATTCTACAGGCTGCTCTGACTGTGAT